TCAGTCAGTCCTGAAAGCACACACAGGGCCGATTTGTCACCTGCGGCTGGCACTGGCAGCACGCAGCTCCTACAGCCGCATGATTTGTGAAACCAGAGGCCGTATTTAGTAGTCCCATTTAAAAGCATATTGGAGAACTGTTCCGACTGTTTGTGTGTGTGTGTGTGTGTGTGTGTGTGTGTGCGTGCGTGCGTGCGTGCGTGCGTGCGTGTGTGTGTGTGTGTGTGTGTAGCTCGACGCTTAGTAAAAACCCAACATACAGTCCTTGCAGCACTAGGGAGAAGCAGGTTTTCAGCTTGGGGGGGTGGCTTGTGAATCACGAGCCTCTCCCCTCATTAAAGAAGAAGCAGTGTTTAAAGCAAAGCTGGTTTTTTCCTGCTGTAATATGTTTGCGAACATCAGCGGGGGCAAATAAACACGTTTGGAAGAACTAAATCCGTCTGCGACCGAACTGAACGGATCGGTTTGAACAGTCTCACAGACGGAGAGACTGTACCTACAGAAGCTTGACAGAAAATTAAAAAGAGAAGAAAATCCCACATTTGGTTTTATTCCCCGACTGCGTGTTAAACAGCTTAACACGTTTATTTGAACACGGCGAGGCTGTGAGGAGATCTACCACGGGAACGAACGGCGCTGAGCACAACATATGGTCAACAAGTAGGGGGTACAAGGTACCGCGATAACAGCCATGCTGCGGAACTACTGGGTATTTATAGCCCTGTGGTAACCTATATAAACTTCCAATTAGGATTATTTGTACAGCTGGTAAAATAAACTCTTTCACCCTATGTCTGGAGAAAAGTTGACTAGGAGCGTTGCATTTGTGCCAGCCAGCACACATTCAGGTTATCGGCGTAACACGTGTTATTTTGGGTCTCCTACAAAGAATTATAGTAAATGTTTAATTAATAGAGTTCTGAGGGACACAGGGTTTTTTATGGTTATCGCACACATCTGCATCACATAAACAATGCAGCTCTTCCATTTGTCTTTCATGTGAGCATAGGCTTAAGCCGACTTGGATTCTGCACCAGTCAAAGATGAGTACAAGCTATAGCCTATATGAGCGATAATTAGCCTTGGATCCATTTTAAAATACAGGCAAACGGCAAACTGGAGCAACATTAAGTTTTTATTCTGGTTTGAGGTCTAAAGGCATAATCTTACAGCTGTGACCAAAAATTGTAAATGTACAGATTTTCAGTGAGAATCACACTGATTTGTTGAACCTTTGCAACGATTTTACCTGGTCATATAGGGCATAATGCTTCTGTCTGGTGCAAAGTGTCTTGTCACAATTTAGTCATAAAACCTCTCAGTTATGTTGCGGTTTATTCTCTCTCATTTTACCTGTGTCAAGGCCGTCACATCACAAACTATACTAAGGTTTAGATACGAGTTCCTGGTTATCGCAATCATTCTTGCAAAATTTAAATACTGTCTAAAGCAAGGCCCTGCGACTGACATGAGGAAACTGAAAAGATAAGACAAGACAAGACAAGACAAGACAAGACAAGACAAGACAAGACAAGACAAGACAAGACAAGATAAGATAAGATAAGATAAGATAAGATAAGATAAGATGAGAACAACTTTATTTATCCCGAGGGAAATTGTTGTGCCATGTACATGCTCAAAGCAGTAGGAGAGACAAAGGAACAGGTGAAACAGATATAAGATATACGATATATACAGTAACTGTTTAGCGATGGTTTAGAAACTCCCTTACAAAAGCCACTTGCAGTTTGTCACCAACAGCTGCCGCCTGGTGAGATAACGGGTCTCTGTCTACTCACACACCCCGGCCGGGATGCATAAGCGGCGTATACGGCAAAAGACGCGTTCAACACACGAGGTGCCTTCCGACCGCGAGCGTTTCAGAGGCGAAACAGCAGTGAAAGCGTTCCACTTAGCTGGTCCCACAAGGTCATGAAATCACCGGAGAATTTGCGAATTACGCAGTAAGATCCAGTCGAAAGGCCATGATACACACACCCTAGCCCTAACCCTAATACACAGAGACATGAAATAAATTATTAAAGTTAAGCATAAAATAATGAATATTCGAACAAACAGCAGCAAAGTTTGATCTCTGTAAACTCACCAAAGTCAAAACCAGGAATATCAGGAAACTATTATTTTGTATTTACACTGAGTGGGTGGAGCTTCAAATGTATACTGATATAAGGGGTATTTTATGTTATCTCTGCCGTTTCCTCTTTGCATACCTCTTTCTGGTTAATACTTTTGAAAATGAAAACAAATCTAACATGCAGTCTGATGTCAGCTCTGAAAACCTTATAAACCATGGCTATTCAAGCACGTTTTAGTTTTAACCATTTATAGGGCCAACATCTACGTATATGTAGACACTTCCACTCACATCATAAATGAGGTTGGTGCGCCTTTTCACGAACTCTCAGAATTACAGGATTTCACCTGAACAATCCTCACAGATCAAGCTAGTCACGGTTTGCACCGGCGCCATTCCACCAATCATCATGGAGCTATAACGCTCCAAATATTGGTGTGTCTGCAGAGCCAGAAAACCTCTCAGTCTCCTCTCATGTTTACTGTCAGATCTGTAAAACTAACAATGCTAGGTTTATGAAACTCTCACATCACAAGGTTGACTAGTTGTGCTAAATAAGGATACATGTGTTTTCAATGTTAAGCTCAATGAAGTTGGTGAAATCATCGCATGAAAATAAAATCTGCCGTATTTGAACATACGCCCTGAACAAGTAAAAGAAATAATGAATATTTTAGGTAAAATCTGTTGTTTTTTCAGACATAATCTTAATATTTGTGGTAACAGTAATAATAACAATTATGATATTGAATTTATTTTGCTGTTTTAAACTAAGATTTCTCTGGGAAATGGAGGACAGTTATTGAGCCAACCAATCTCACCACCTGTGATGATGAACAGGAGGAAGATGACATTGAGGCAGATCCTCAATATAAAACATTGTAAAATATTCTAATAATCTATATCTGATCAGAAATAGTATATATTGTTCAATTACTTTTCAAAAATATTCTACAATAATCTGTTTTTATAAAAATACACTGTGTTGTTTATTAATTGTGATATATTCTGTATTTTTGAACAGTGATATTATGTTCTAAAAGTAGCTAGATTATTCTAAAGTGTCTTATAATCATATATATTATTTTACAACAATGTTTATTTAACTTGTTCATGTTGTTTTATTTTGGGATTTCTTTTACCAGAACAGGGCCAATGTCCATTTTTGATCACTATGTTTTCTCTGATTGTCTACATGAAAATAAATATTTTTGAAAATTGTAACAGCAGAAATACATTTTGGTTATGGACTACAATAACACCCTGGGGGTTGAAATTTAAAAAATTAAAAAACTTCGATGAGTGCCCTATAAAGGGTTAACCCTGCTTCAACACACCTGATTTTAATCAGCAGCAGCTCATCAGGCTTCTGCAGAGCCTGATGATCTGCTGCACTAGTGACGCAACCACTTAGGTCTAGTCCACACGTAGCCGGGTTTTTTTTAAAACGAATATCCGCCCCTCCAAAAACTTGCATCCACACCACCTCGTTTAAAAAAAATAACTGTCCACACGTACCCGGATAAATACGTTGTTAAGGACATGCCAGACCTGAAGGCGGCAGTACTTCCCCCGTTCTTAACCTCGTCCTTCGTCTGTGGTCTTCCGCAAAGAGCAGTAATTCCGCTTGCAAAAACAAACAAGCAAAAAGCGCTTGGACAACTGATAAAGCGAGCGCAGCTCTGAGGGCATCCATGCTGTTGGCTAGTGTAAACACAGGTCGCACACGTGATGTCAGCATTTTTTTGTTGTGGAAAGTGACATTGCGGACCTTAAAACTCCGGTTTTGTCTGTCCACACGCAGACACCCAAAACGGAGAAAACGCAGATCTTCACTTTGGCCGGAGTTTTTAAAAAGATCCATTTTCGTGTGAAAAAACTCCGTTTTCGTGTGGATGACAGGCCAAAATGTAGAAAAATATCTACGTTTTGGCAGATCCCCGGCTACGTGTGGACAGGGCCTTAATCTAGTGTGTTGGACCCATCGACATGGTTGGACCAGAGCAGCCACTAAAACGTGCTGGATACTGGCCCTCGAGGCCCAAACTTGAATAGCCCTGTAATCTAAACTACAGGGAGCTTAAGTCTCCCCCCTTTCTGGTTGGCACATGGGTCCCTGGAACAACAAAAAATTGAATGCAAGTGAATGGAGTGAATCATTAATGTTGTAATGATGTGTGTTTTGACCATGCCTGTCACGTACTTAGAGATTTATCAGCTTGAAAAAATCTGTAATTCCTATGAATACAAATCAGACCTCGTCACGTTGCATCATGTCACCACAGAGTCTCCTCTGCCCTAGCGTAGCTGCTAGTTACCACACATGGTGAGATTTATGGTGGTTCTTTCCTCGTGAAAGAAGGATTTGAAGTTTGTTAACTTAGACATTTTTCCACTACTTTTCTCCGTGTCTGGTTCAATGATGTCAATTTGGTGATGCGCTGTTTGTAGTCCTGGACGTATTTTCACACAAAACCTAAAATAACCTTTGCCGCCATTCGAATATAAGTGCTTTCTTGGCATCAAAATGTGTCTTTAAAATTCACAGACATCATATGTGGTAAACTATGGCACATATATAACGGGATTAGAAAATAGTGTTTTTAGCCCCATCGACTTTTTCCGGGGACCCGCGGTCCGGAAGTAGATGGGTGTGACTTAGGCTCCCTATTATGGGATGCTTGACAAGTAAAGTATTATAACATCTCATGGATTTAAATTATCTAACATTCATTACAAAGACCATCTTCTCTTATGGATAAAACACACACACACTTTTGGAACAATATCTCAATGGCTCCATGACGTTTGTCAGTCATGCTGTCCTTTAATTTGTTATTTCCCAGTTTTAAAGAGTGTTTAAAGACTCTAAAACCATTTTAAGTCTCTGGTTCTTGTAACTTACCCACAAATGTCACATTTGTACTCTCGCATGCCCAGATGTCTCTTCACATGGTTCCTGACGTCGCCCAGCTGAGCCGTAGAAAAGCTGCAAATCGTACACGTGAAGGGCTTAGATCCTGGATAACAGATTGCAGAAAGGAAGAAAAAACTGTTTTCAGAAACAGCATATTGAAATCTGTTGTAGGACTGTCAAATATCTTCACAAATGCAAAGAAGAGGCCCCTACTCTGGTAATAACAACAACAATCACATTTCTAGTGCCAAGCTGTTCCTTCTTTCACTCTTCATCTATCCTTGTCACTCTCCTTCATCTCTTACCAACTCTTCCTTTGCCTGCGGATGCGTAAATTGGAATCCAAAGGTCAGGGCGAATGCGTAAATCAATTCTGTGTGCACTCACTACCTCCTATTCCATCATTAAAGCACTAATCACTCTGGCGGGCTTCACAGGGAGGTTTCTTCCTAATTATTGTCATTAATAAGTCCAGAGGGCGGGGTAGTGTTTGAGAAAGTGGCAAAGCTTCTCTTTGCTATCCATCATTTAACAGCAGAGCAGTGAGGGCGGATGCCTGTACTATCAGGGTGATGCATGAACGGTCACCATAGGACATTTAAAAAAGAAAAAAGTCACTTATCTGCCTGGAAGGATTTATTTGGATGTCTAAAGTCAATGCCAACTTCTAAACAAAATAAAACATAACTGTAAAGGGAAACTTTTTGGGAGGACCTTGGATTGGAAATGTTTGTTTCAGATCTGTGGGGAATATGGTGGTTCTTTAAATACAAGTAACAGAGACCTCGCATCTTCGTGTTAAACTCCTCCCAACATAAAATTAAAACTTTTGAATAACCTCAATTTGGGGGAATAGACTGTTGGTCTGAATGGATTGACAAGCTAACAGCTAGTCCAAAAGGATTACTGTCATCCACAAACGAATCTAAATGAATTATTGAACATTTGTGCTGTAACTGCATGTAGAGGATGTAGTTGCACCCCAGCTCTGCAGTTAGCCAGTCAGAGCCAGTCTCATTTTCTCTAAACTGAGGTAACTCCAGTAGCTTTAATAGAAACCAGTTTATAAAATTCTGTCTAAATGAATTATCACACGTCAGAGATCAATCATAAACACCACTAGTATGATCAGCAGTTATAATTTACCTTTAGATATAAATTAGTTGAGATTTATCCACCATTACACTTTTTTAACGATTTACACACAAACCAGAACCAGAAGGGTAATTGCTAGTTTTCAGTTTTTTTTCCTGAAATATTCATTAAATTTGAGTCTTCCTTTAAAAGACTGCAGAACTAATAAAATCTAATTTTTTTTATTACCAAATAAATAATTACAATTGTAGAATTATTATTTCTTTATTTAACCTGGTGAAGACTCATTTGAGAGGGTCCATGATATGTTTCTTCTAGGGGTAGACCGATATATCGGTCGGCCAATATATTGGGCCGATATTTACCGCCTTTTATACATCGGCATCGGCTGATATTTGCCCTTAGTAAAGCCGATTTAAATTCAGGCACATCCTCGGGCAACCCGGTGCCATTGCAGAATTTTATTTAAATGCATTTTTACGTTCACTAATAACATCTGCATAATAAATACTCTAATTTTATTTGGGCATCTGACTTTAACACTGAGCAGAGCACAAAGTTAAGATTTAACAGTCTGTTAAATTCAAAGTTCAAACACTGATTCAGCTTCAGAAGTCGTGTACACCAACTGATATTAATGACATTTTAGCATGAAAATAAGATGGGAAATGGTAATTGGCCATGAAAATCGGCAATACATATCGGATATCGGCTGACTATATCTCTTACATATTGGTGTCGGTATCGGCAATAGAAAAACAAATATCAGTCAACCTTCTTCCTCCGTCTGTGTAGAACAAACTACTGAAATACAAAACATACCAAATCTACTCTCAATTAAACTTAAGCATCTGGTGAAGTAAACAGTTATCTGCTGTAGTATTTGGTTGGCACACCGAGCCAGATGTCTAAACTACGTGGCAGCCTGGTATGATATCCATGTACGCATCTTGGAGCAAAACCCTCACCTTCTACCAGTGAATATCCCAAGCCGTTCTACAATATTTAATCCTGGAGTAGCTGCTGATTTGATTAAGCACTTTGTGTAGATTACTAATTCGTTCATACACGGTTCACTTGCTGTGAGCTGGAAGTACAACACGTTGAATTTTACGCCGGTAACAAAGATTGAAAGGCAAGCCTGCGCTAACAAGGCCCATAAACACAAGGGACAGGGGTGGTGTGGGGAGGGGGAGCTAGTGTGTGTGTGTGTGTGTGTGTTGGTGGTCTATACATGGGAAGCAGCAAAAGTCTGCTTCTCCTTTGCACACATCCCTGGAATACTACACAAACATTTCTACAAAAGCAAATAAAAGAAGAAAAAGACACTAAACTGAACTAAAACATTCACACCTCAGTGCTGAGAAATCACACAACAATATCATCCACACCTAATAAAAACAAAAAGACAGACGCACAGGGTCACACCACACCCACCATCACACCTACGAGGAGCTTCAGGGCCCCGCCTCACAGCAGACACATTCTACTCTCAAAACGCATTCACCTTCAGAATCATAAAGAAAAAGAGACAATCACCCTGTCCTTCTCACTCACACACCCTCAGACGCTTTCAGCCTAAAGTTGAGGAGGTGTGTGTGTGTGTGTGTGTGTGTGTGTGTGTGCGTGCGTGCGTGCGTGCGTGCGTGCGTGCGTGCGTGCGTGTGTGTGTGTGTGTGGAGATGATTTGTCCAGATGGCTGGCTGAGTATGAAACATGGCAGAGAGGAGAGAGATGTAACGTCTCCCCCCTCCGTTCAAACATCTTATCACATTAATACTCCACCACTCCACTTAAACAGCCTCCCTGAAACTGAAATTGACCATCAATGCAGTGTCATGTTAAATTAATACTGCCATCCGCAATGGGGCAATGTGGCTCCTCACATCCCAGATGAGACAGAGAATGACTAATTCATTTCCTGAGAGGAGAGAAGAACCTCATGCAATGCTTCACCTCTTTCACACACGCACGCACGCACGCAAGCACACACACACACCTGTCACAGTCTTGGCTTCCACTTTCAGGTTTGGAGGAAGAGAAAACAGAAATGATAATTTCACACAAATAGATGTCTTCCTTGGTGCTCGTGTTCCCTCCATTTCTCTCCGACAACAAACTGCCAGCTATTCAAAAACAGTTTATTTCAATCTTTAGCCTACGTTTCAATTGTTTAGCCTACAAATAAATATTTTCTCCTCCAAAATAATGAGTGAATTTGAATTGGGTTAAACATGATCCTTTATTGAAACGTTTCACCTGTTCCTGTCGGCACCAAAGTGTGAAAAGTACACTTGGAAAAAGTCCTTCATGCGGCCTGCAGCCACAGAATCTGATGGCATCTGTGAAAAGTCTGCTGTGTATAATGCCAAGAGGGAAAAGTGTCTCAGTGCTGCACTTCCATAAAGCTGGAAGACAAGCGAAAGACACAATAAAAAGAAAATGGAAAAAATGAAGCAATGGTGTTTAAAACATTCCAACATTTAGTCTGTTATAAGGGTTTACCACTAAAAGCATCCTTAACTTCCTAAAAAGCACCTTTCATCATCCTGCCAACACCTAATACTTTTATGTGGAAAAACCCAACATACAAAAGGTCAATGAGGGCATTTATCCTACCCCTGGACTTTACTCCAGACCCTCAAACACCCAGTAAGACCGATCAGAGTTAATAAACCCAGCCTCCAAAGAAAAACTGTACAAAACTTTGCGGCAGGGATGGACAATTTATCGGCATCAAAATAGGTATCTGCCAATGTTAGTCATTTTTGAACATTTCAGTTTGATAAATAAAACCAGGCCGATATTAACAACCAATATTTTTTTCCATGTTGTCTCCATTTGTTTGCCTGTTTCAGAGGGTGAGGGGAGTGATGTGTAATTGTTTAGTCTTGTGAAAAGTGAATGAAATCATCTCAGAAGCGTAAATCAAGCCCACCTGGAGCGGGTACTCCATGCTTTTGTACTTTCTAGGCTTGATTACTGCAACTCTCTATGTGCAGGGTTGTGTCAGTCATCACTGCGTCGCCTACAGGTTGTGCAGAACAGCGCAGCCAGGTTCCTGAATGGGACCAGGAAACGGTACCACATCAGTCCGGTTCTGGCCTCCCTGCACTGGCTTCCGGTTTGTTATCGTTCACACTTTAAACTCCTCGTCTTTGTTTACACTTTCTTCTAGGGTGGTGCTCCCCGCATCTAGCCACTCTCCTGAACAGACATTCCCCATCACGCGCTCTGCGCTCCTCTGACCAAGGCCTGCTCGCTGTCCCTCGTTCTAGGTGTCGTACTCGCGGGGACCGGGCTTTCTCAGTCCTAGCACCGTCACTCTGGAACCAGTTGCCACCCTCAGTTATGCTGTCCCCATCTCTGCCAGTCTTTAAGAGTCGCCTAAAAACCCACCTCCTCCGCTTTGAGTTCCCTGAACGTGTTTGAATTTGGCCCTCTTTTATGTTGATTTTAATTCCCTGTTTTCAATAGTCTCTCTATCCCTCGTTTTACCCATTTGTCTTCCAGAATGTTTTACCTTTTTTTTGTAATATTTGAACTGCTTTTATTTTCGATTTATTCATCATATTTAACTTTTCTCATGTACTGTGTTCAGCGCCTTGGGCTTCCCGACAGGGAAGGCGCTTTATAAATAAAGCTTTGATTGATTGATTGATTGATTGATTAAATGTGTATGTTGTGTGTACATATTAACGTAAATTCAGCTTTAATAATTTTCATTCTATACAAAATCTGCTGATTTTAGAAGCATTAATGTTAGCATATCGGTATCGGCAAATATCGGTTATCGGCCATAACAGTGATCTTTTTATCTGATATCGGTATCGGCCCAAAAACTTCATATCAGTGCATCGCTACTTTGCAGTGTTTTCAATGTTTTTATTCTCGTGTTCTATTGAGCAGGTCTGATGTGTTGCTTTTTTGAGATCCTTTAGCCTACTTTGTGCTTACAGACATGTTCTCTTTATGTTTTTGTTTCACTCTACAGATCTGTCGGTGATG